CACTGATAATTTTAGGGTAAATATTTTTCTGAAATACTTCATTTGTCAGTTGTGTCTTATAGTATATATTAAATATCTTGGAAAAGAAGGTGTAATTGTACCCTGTCTAATAGCTTTGGTTCAATACATTTGGCAACATCAGCAATTGGGCTGTCTTAGAATTCATGAAAGACCTTTGCTACAAAACCAAGAAAACATGCCTTGTATCAGGAGATCAAATTCTCTGCTTCAACCAGATTAACAACACAAATGTTATTGTTACTATTGTGACTGCTACCCTTTTTACAAATAATACACTGTTTGTTGAGCATAGATTCACATATCATACTGTGTTTTCAAATATCTTTGGCTCATAATTTCAATCCATAATGATGCTCAATAGGCAATTCCAGCTTTTAGTTTATGCGTGCAGGGGACGATGGGAAGTAAAGTATCACATTACTGATTATGCCGAAAAAATAAAAATGGTGGCCGTGTAAACACGGAGTGATAGCTTATACTTGTAAATATTGAAATATTTCGGTTGTTTCGGTAGTTTTTATTGCAATTTTTCAGCATAATCAGCACTATGATGCCTTACTTCCCATCATCCCCTACAGGCATAAACTAAAAGCAGGAATTGCCTATTATTCCACTTGCTGAGAATACTATAATTACCTTTTTCCCATGGAGGAGGGTCTTAACAGACTGAGAGAGACATAGAGGCTTAATAAATATGGTTACACTGAATTTTATCAGTAAGTAAATTTCATTTTTTACATCCCGAAACAAAAGATCACCATATTATGCATGAATTATATAATTATATATGTCACTTTCACTTAGCACAGAGTGCATGAATACACCAAATTCAAACATTCACTGGCTGTTTCTAGATGAAATAATCAACAGATTTTTTTGTGGAAACAATATAATTCATGAGGGGGGAAATGAATACTTATATGTGCGCACATAGTTTGAAGACCAGCTAGCGGCGTTGAAACCAACTTTCCCAGTTATGATTGGAGCTGATAAGAACATGACCTTATAGTCTTGAACACAAAATGGCATGGGACTTCATCTAGATGGCAATATATTGGCATTCACCCAGACCATGGCAATATCACACAATATACAAGAATGCACCCATGCAGGTTCTGCCTTCTCACCAGCACAATTGATCAAGTCATATACATTCATTACTGCCAATCTCTTTATTATTTATGTCTCATTACAATTGGTATGTACAATATATTTTCATATTATTACAACTTGTGCATCACCAGTATCATCAAAATTTGTATTTCACAAGCATCACCATCATTATTCTCACCATTCTACTGTTATTTATAATCAATCACAACGAATCAAAAAATTTCCTATCACACCACTCATATTACTTAATTGCCCAAGGTTAAGGCCATTTCACAGCACTACAGGATCTGAATACCTGCAACCATCTTTTCGATCTAATACTAAAACAGAAACAAACAACCATTGTCTTACTGGAATATCATTGCCACATAAAATGACTGTCATTTGAAACGTACCACATTCTGCTGTATTAGTTACAGCACAACTGCTTCGCAACTAAGATAAATAATAGGGATGTAGTAAGTTAATACTGATTACTGGTAATTGTCTCTTTACATTTTGCTCACAACCAAAGTCCAATTATATGGAGCAAGTATAGAATATGCGGCCACTTTTTATTATTCACTTAACCATACAGTATACCCTTGACAAGTAAAATTGTTTGGTGTTGGACAGAGAAAAATAACAAACCATGCCGTACTTGTCTCCTTTGGATGGGCAAAATACTAAAATTGGGGGCTATGGAGATTTTATGGCAAGAGATGGGGGAACATTTTCTCCAGTAGAATGTATGTTGGCCATTGGGATTTTTTAAAATTAAACATCAAAATCGTAAACCAGAGTATATTGAGGCGATAAAGAAAAGAACACTTGACTGTAAAATTAATGTAATCTAATTTTCTTGTCACGTACAGAAAGTTAGGTACTGGGTAAGGTTGGCATTTTCTCACTTTTCTGTAATCATCGTACTATTCTGTTAAGTTTTTATTGGATGAGTCAGAGACCAATGGTTGGAATGAGGGCAGTAAATTTGTAATTCTTGCATGTATTCATTTATGAACTCTTGACTACTGTTATAGTCAGACAGTTAAATAAGTATTTTACTAGGGTACAGCTTGACGATTTTACATGTCAAACAGAACTCCAGTTATGAAAGACTGAATATTCTCTAAGCAAGCTGGAACAGAAGATTTTGATTTTAGTGATGGATGGAGATTTGGAGATAACAAAAAAATATATCAGACATGAAGAGTTATGAAGGCCCATGAAGGAGGTTTTATATCCAAAAGTGAAAGATGGAGGAATAATTAGACGAAGAAAACTAATTATACAAACAGAGAGCTACAAATCTGCTGGAATTTAGGATATATAAACTGATAAATATTTGAGAATAATAATATAATTTTTATATAATATGCATCATAAAATCGTACCTCGGTAATACTGCATTCGATCTTTATAGCATTCAAAATCCATGTGGCCTCAAAGTTTATAATTTCTGCTACAACAATATTGTGAATATGGACAGCCAGAGTTGGAATAGCATTCATCCGCTTTTACCCGAAAAATGACGTGGTAAAGAGCAAGAAGTAAAAGGTAACGAACTGTAGTCTTCTTTAAACGCGCCATCGTTTTTGTTTCCAAGCTTAAGCTTGCAAGAAATTTATATGAAATTTGAATGAACTCATTAATTTTAATATTCCGCAGCAATTGTTGTCCGCGTCTATCTTATCGACCGCTTTGATTCTGATTTGTCGTGTTGCATCGTGCGGTCAAGCAGAACTTGAATATTTTATACAATAACGAAATGGTATAATAATCTTTTTCCATTCGAAGTCAATATTTCATGAACGTATAATAAAACAGCAAAATATTATTGCCAACCGACTAATTAGAAAGCATAGGCATTCGCCTTCTTAACAGTGAGTGGTATATTGTAAATTAAAACGATATGACAAGTGCGCGGAAAATTATATTAGCGAGCTAAAGCAAGCGACGTTTATGACAACACGAACGGCATAAGTAACGTTAAAAGACTGGGTCAAGGACGTTGGTGGGTTAATAATGTCAAATTTGTTTCCGGTCAACGTTCGTGTTGTCAAAAACGTCGTTTAATTGCTTAATCCCATCTATTGCCACCAAAGCTGACCATATAAAGATCAACGTTTCAAAATACAACGTGTACGTAGGGCAGATCGTTTCATGAACTCTTTCACGATATATTTTTCCGATACTCATCGTCGCCGAAAACGTATTTATTAACAAGATAATTATAATTGATCGTTTTATAGATTTTTAGTCTAACTACCATGTAATACTATTGAAATTGATGTAAGGTATTCAGTGTAAAGCTGCTTCTGGTTTCAATACTGATTCTTTTAGTGTAAATAGTTCTAATTAATAATAAACGGTATGATAAGTATAGTCTAGAACTAATGATTTGTCGCTTCACGCCCCATGCAGTGGTTATTCATGGGTTCTAAACTACAAACATATTAAAGTTGGCGCTAGTTATTGTGGCGTACGAAGTTATTAATCCAAATCTTCTTCAATTTCAGAGGGTGCAGGGATAGGTGGTATGGATCGCGTTTCACAACGAAAAAAAAGCCGTTTCGCGATTCACGTGTCTTAAAAAAGCAATTTCACGGTAAACCAGATTCTAATAAAATAATATAATAATAATAATAGGTTTATTAAGAGTGTATTTAATGCATGCATGGTACAGTATCTACGCTTTAAGTGCTCTCACTATACTCTACCTGTCAGTTAAAAACTACATCATAACTTACAAGTTTGAGTGACGAGCATGTCGACCTCCAATTGTCCTCAAAGTGAGGAACCCTGTCCTCAGCGTGAGAAACCTTGTCCTCAGAGTGAGAAACCTTGTTTTCAGCGTGAGCCGGGAACCTTGTCTTCAGCGTGAGGAACCTTGTCCTCAGAGTGAGTAACCTACGAAAGCCGGGTAGGGACTTCACACTTCAAACACTGAAAATGAAGATCAGTAAAAGAAGGGTCACTCAGCGGTGCAACGTGTCGGCCAGCATGCGTAATGCAACATGCGCGAGGACAGAAGCTTCAAAGCTTAATTTAATTTAATTTATTAACTTTGCCAGATAGTCTTTACAGTTGTTAGGCTACAAAGTTAACGAAATAACTAAATAGACTATATGGCAGGATATTCGCAACAGCGATTAACATATTACTGCGAACCCAAGAACAATACGTTAACATGAAATAGCAAAAAAACTAACAACTAACTTCATGCATTTATGCAACAGACACTACAGTAAGTATTTAGCTAGCTAGCTAGGGCAACTGATCAAGCTATAATAATAACATGCCCTAGCTGAAAAGAAATTGGACAAATGAATGCATGCAAATGACTATATAAGCATAGCACAAGCAGTTATCATGTAGCTACAATCTTGGACAAAACTGGTTGAGACCCAGTGTAATATTCATGCCATAAAAATATATTCTGTAGCTATGTCCATTAAATTATAGATTTATTTTGATGTAACCCCCACTCCCCCAGTCCAATGTTGCTAGTATTTGATAGTCACATAACCCAGGTACATGTTTTCGTCCAAGCAACATTGAATCAGGGGGGAGAGGGGGGCAAAACCATGGAAATTTTAAACACTCATGAACATGACATTTGATCTCATATTTGTCTTAAGTGTATTGTCCAAGATTGTCTGAGAGTGCACCACTTAAGTGGCTGTGTAAAACTAGCAAATAACTCTGGGTTAAATCATGTTAATCTGTATTTATACATTTTAAGTTATATCTAAGACATTCCTAATAGTATTTTAAGTATTTAAATAAGGTGTCTAAGTAAATAGTAGCCCATAACTAAGCCATATTTAAAAATAGCCTGTACATGAATGATATATTTCTAGTAAGGATGTGCTTGTTTAATTGACATGGAGCTTTTGATGGAATATGACAGTGATAGTGACTCTGGTGAGGCTAATACACAAGAGTTGCAAAATGGTAGTCGCTCAGTGTACCTTATTACGTATAGTCAAGCCGATAAAGCAGTATTTCCAACACGGAAAGACTTTGCTTTAGAAGTTGAGAAGTCCTTTTCGACTGGCAAAGTTAAGGTCGTGCAATGGTGTTGCTCAGAGGAGGAACACAGAAATAAAGGAAAACATTACCATATAGTGGTAAAGCTTACACAAAACCAGCGATGGCTTACCTCTAAGAGGTTCCTAATGGAAAATTACGGCGTAAGTGTCCACTACTCGAGTGCCCATCACGACTATTACAGTGCATGGAGATATGTCACGAAGTCGGATAAAGATTTTGTACAAAGTGAAAACCACCCCCGTCTACGAGAGGCTCCTAAACCAAAAACGACTAATGCGAGCCGGGCCAGATGCAGCAAGAGGAAAGTGAAACGTCCAGCTCGATATTCTAGTGCCCAGGACACCTTGCTCGAAGATGAAGACGAAGAAGGAGAGAGGCCAACCGCCAGGAAACGCAAAAAAAGACTAACAGCATTCGAGGTGTCGCAGATCATGGTAGAGGGGAACATTAAGAATTTGATTGAGCTTCAAGCCCTTGCGTTTGAACAAAAAGAGGAAGGAAAAACTGATCTGGCCGAGTTCCTAGTCAATCGAAATTCTCGAGCAGTTGCTGATATGATGCAATCTACATGGGAGATAGAGGAAGCGAAAGCTAAATTGGAGAGAGCAAAGAAAACAAGAATGGAACTGCTACAGGAGGCAAGACGGAGTGAATGTGCACAAGGTTGTAACGGCGATTGGTTAAGTTGTGCTGAAGAGATTCTTCACAATAATGGCTTATCAGTAGAGTACTTCGGCGAAGTCGTACGCGATCTATTAAGCAAGGGCCGAGGGAAGTTCCGAAATATAATGCTAACAGGTCCAGCAAATTGTGGGAAAACGTTTCTCCTCAACCCTCTCACACTTATTTTCAACACCTTTTGCAACCCAGCTTCGGGCACTTTCGCATGGATTGGGGCGGAAACAGCAGAGTGTATCTTTCTCAATGATTTTCGCTGGTGTCCACAGCTGTTGCCATGGCACGACTTGCTTTTGTTGTTGGAAGGCCATGTAGTTCATTTACCGGCACCCAAAACCCACTTTTCCAAGGACATAACCTTCGAAAATGATACCCCAATATTTTGCACAAGCAAGAACCCATTGGTTTTCATAAAAAATGGCGTTATTGATGAGCGAGAAACCGAAATGATGCGTGTGCGTTGGAAATTAATCCAATTCAACTATCAAATCCCGCCAAACACCCAGCGGGACATTACGTCATGTGCACGTTGTTTTGCAACGTTAATATTAGGCTAATATTCCAACTATTTCATCTGAATTTTTTTATAGAACGGTTAACCTACTAAAAACTTTATGGTTGTCTCATAAAAGCACGGTAAACAGGCGTTTTTGACGGTAAACGACCAACTTACTAAAATAACAATGATTGATCTCTAATCTATTATTAGAAATCGTAGTTTGGGCTGTTTATCGTGTTTTTCGAGAGCAAATGCTTGGTTAATCGTGCAAAATGTTTCTATTTGTAGTTTGTTGATCATTACCGTAGGAATTAATATATATAGAACAATACAGAACGAGAAAAATGGTTAAAACTCATGTAATTGTATGTTAGTACAAGATATTGCACGCCACAGGAGGCCCTAAACCGCCTGCGATAATCACGAAACAGTGTTAAATGTCTTTTAAAGTGTTTATAATCTTATTACATCTTCAGTATTTTATCCTCTCGCCTTTAGAATGAATTACTAAGTCTAATCTATGGTTCATTGACTTAATGGTATTGTCAATTTCAGTTGTAGAAAAGTTATACATTGTCCTTTTAACGCGGGCAGTGAATTCGTCAAAAGTTTCACAAGTTATATTATTTTCTAGCGCATCTAATCGCAATTTCTTTTTGACTCTATGAAATAGATTCTCGATTGGATTGAGATCTGGACTCCTGGCAGGAATTTTTAGCTGTTCAATCTTCATTTTTTGCATGGTGTCTCTCACTATACTTGAATTTTGTACAGGACAATTGTCCTGAACAAAAATATTCGAATGCCGTTTGTGGGCTTTGGCAAACAGAATAGTAAATCTACTATCTACAAAAGAAGCAAAAAATGGCCCATCCATCTTTTCATATCTATAACAATCAATGACCCCTTTGCCATAGCTTATTGCGACTAAAAGCTTGAGTACTTTGCCGCCACTGCCTTCTTTTACTCCCTTTTGCAGTACAGCCTTGCTTTAATCCTTCGGACTTTTGACGCCATACTCTACCATGTGGAGCCCTAGCTTGGTCTGCTGGATTTTTCTTATAGTAGAAACTAACACCATCTAAATAAAATCCGACCAGTTCAGTCCACACTGTTTCTGGATATGATTTCTGACTTTCTTGGCAAACGCTACTCTTTTCTTGAGATCAGACAAAGACATTAGTCCCTTTTTTCGAGCTTGCAAGAATTGGTAACCATGTCTTTTGAGGCACCGTCTCACGGTTCTATTGCTTACTTGGCTTTCTTGTATCCCTGCCCTTTCCATTAGACGCTTAGACGAGAACTGCCCTTCTTCTTTTCTTAGCAGTTTTAATGTGCGTATAAGCTTTCTCTCATCACGTGAGTCCAACTTCCTAGGTCTACCGCCGGCATGATTGCCTTTATTAGTTGTGTTAGTCAGAGATTTTTTTGCTGCTTTAATTCGATATACCGAAGCACGTGAAATGCCAGTTTTCTCAATAATTTCCCTTGTTGATATTTTTTCGTTTTCAGCCAAATATTTTACATAAGCTCTTGTTTCTGCTCTAATAAGCCCTTTAAAAACCATGTTTCTCTGTCACGCAACATACACAATGTCATGAATACTAGTCTCACGAAACTTTGTGGTAGAAATATTAATTTACTAACACCTCAATCATTAATTACATGTCATTGAGTAAGTGTACATTTTTAATATTTAACTCTTGTTTCAATGGTCATTTTGCGTGCAAAATACACAGCATCGTTATTCAGACAATCTTGGACAAAACTGGTTGAGACCCAGTGTAATATTCATGCCATAAAAATATATTCTGTAGCTATGTCCATTAAATTATGGATTTATTTTGATGTAACCCCCACTCCCCCAGTCCAATGTTGCTAGTATTTGATAGTCACATAACCCAGGTACATGTTTTCGTCCAAGCAACATTGAATCAGGGGGGAGAGGGGGGCAAAACCATGGAAATTTTAAACACTCATGAACATGACATTTGATCTCATATTTGTCTTAAGTGTATTGTCCAAGATTGTAGCATGTCTTGTTGTCTTGGTTTGCAAGGCAAAGGACGAGCTGGTAATGCCATGAATTACTTTGAAGAAATGATTGTCAAGGTATTCTGCGTATTCATGCCAGTAACATATTGGCAGTAGATGGAGAGTTTGCAATCTGGATTTGTAATTATTAATGGAAGATTAAGAATGTATTTTGTTGCACGTCTTTGAGGTTTTTCTAGTTTGAGCAGAAGTTCGATAGATTGAGGTGTCCAGACTTGCGTCGCGTAACCAAGATGTGATCGTACCAGTGACAAGTAAATGGTTCTTCTTGTTTTAATGCTACTAATTGTTCGTGTGTTCCGTCTGATGTAGCTAAGCATTTTATATGCTTGTGCACACTGTTCGTTAGCATGCTTGTTTAATGTCAAATCGGAAGATACCCAGACGCCGAGATCACGTTCATGCTTAATTGATGCTAGTGGAGCGTCATTCATAAAATAGGTGGTAGGGATTGGATTGGTTTTACGGGTAATTGATTGTGCTTTGCATTTTGTTTCGTTGAATTGTAAGCCAGATTCAGATGACAAGTTTCCCAAGTTAGTGATATCTTCCTGTACCTTTACTGCATCATTAGGCGATTGTATTGCCTTGAAGACTTTGGTATCGTCCACAAACATTGCAACGCGACTTGACTTCACATTGCTTGGCAGATCATTGACGTAGAGGGGCAACAATGCCTGGACCAAGTATTGAACCTTGCGGTACACCAAATGTGATAGGATGTAGGTTCGACGTTGCTCCTAACACTGTTACACGTTGTTTACGATTTTCTAGATAGCAACGGAACCATCTGAGGAGATTACCTCCAAAACCATAGTCTTTCTGCAGCTTTGGTATTAATACTTCATGATCGACCTTGTCGAATGCCTTTGACATAAACATTTATAAAATAACCTTTTAATAACGCCTGCGCTGATTGGTTGAAAAGCGAAAAATCTAGTGTTTCTATTACGCTATAGAACACGGGAATTTTCCACGAACCTCAAACCAACACTAAAACAAACGTTTTCGCCTGAAATATCGATTAAAAATCTTCATCAACCTGAAATTTTGTTAAACAAGCAATGGAAAACACTTACCAAACGTTTTTTCGCTTTAAATTTTCTTTAAATCAAATTTTTCAGCGTGTTTTTTCCATAATTTTGCAGTCGGCAAAACTGAAAATTGATGCCGGTATTGTTGCTAGGCAACATTTTCTTGTTATTGTGTTATGAGAATATACTAGTTAATCGCGTTAAAAATATTGTTTTTGTGTTATTATCACAAGGTTATTTAATAAAGGAAATAGAAAACATTTTTTCCTGTGTTTCTATAGAGTTATAGAAACACTTGTGCTAGTTTGTGAGAACTCGTCAAATTTTGTATGATTTCAACCCACAGAGTCGTAGAAATAAGGTAAAACGATCGATCTTTTGCGGTGCGATTTGACTCGCCGCTCGCGCGCCACGCGTCACGTCACTTTTACTGAATGTCATAAACTTAACATACTCGTTTATATTAATTCAGCATCGAACCATACTAGTTCTGCAATTGTTACGTTACGTTGTGTTATTCTTCACTCCGCGGTAATATAATAAGTAGAAAATGTTCTCGAGTGTATATTTCATCATTTCCATACCCAGCGCAAGCAGAAAGATATTGTCTGCCGCGCGCGGCTGGGTCTTGAACCCGCGACCTTCGGATTACTAGATCGACGCTCTACCAACTGAGCTAGACGGTCAGATGGATTTAAGACTGGAAATTATGAAAATATATAGTTCATGAGACGCCGGCTCAGGCGTACCCTCCGGCTACGACCAACTATGATCATCAGCTATTAACCGTAAATAATGATGGGCCAATAATAGCGAAGAAATTATATAGTCCTTGATTTTTAATGCCATTATATAATAATAAAAATAATAATATAATCTTTATTTAATCTGCAAAGTTGTGTCAGCTGACAATACGATGACCGCTGGTATTAATACAAGTGCAGTTAGATATAATATGTTAATCGAATATGACTAATTTAGCGATTAAATTATGTCTATATAAAATATGAGAAGTACTATTTTACATTACAGCGATGATTAACGACATCTAAGTGTTACGAAGCTTTATTTATAGGTAGTGAATCGTTACATGCAACTTTTGTAATTATTGTCACCAATGTTAATATTGGAATAGTTCTGCTTCAAAGTTATCTTCTTTCTTCAGCCTCTTTCGTTGTTCACTGTTCGTTTTTTCTTTGTCGTTGTCTAGTTTCGTTTGAGCTTTAGCAGCATTTCATCAGTTAAGTTTTATTAAGTCCACGTTAACTGACGAATTTACTGAGAGATCATCCACTGAAAGATCATCCACTGAGAGGTCATCTACTGAGAGGTCATCCATGCACTGACGAATTTGGGTTGTGCACGCCCTTTTATACTAACGGTTGAGGGATCTTTGTCCACGTGATGTAGCAAGTGGTGTGATTTTTATCCAGCCAATCAACGTTGAGGTTTAAAAGTGTGGGTTGGTGTTGGTAGCTCGTTCCAGCCCTCAAATTCTGTTTATTTAAGGCGTTGTCGAACTTGTCGAGTCGGTTCGCTGCTTAATCGATCAATGTTAAAATATGTTCACAACTTAAAATACTTATCAAAATATCATAGTAAAATCTTCAACCTATACCTATGTGAACCTTACTTTACCGACTAACCTAAATTTACTTACAATTTTATTGAACCAAGATTTTGATGCCGTAATGTTATCATTACTCGACCGCGCGAAATATACTGGAGAGTGATTGACAGAAAGGCCGTAAGCATGCACATTTTCCATGTCAAAGAAGTACCAGCCTTGGACTTTGAATTATGTAAACACCACAGCCCAACATGCAAGGTTATCGTCCAACTTTGACAAATTATTGATCTTGCCTAATGGACAGATAATTGACACTTTTACACAAGTCCGAAATGATATATACTTTATCTGCGTTTTACGGCAAAAATGTTCATTATCTCTCCATTTGACGTAACTAATATCTATAATTACCTGGGGTACAAACTGAACTATTTTTATACTATTTTTAATACTTTCGTAACAATCCTTCCCGCCTGGATTAAGCTGCCCTCAGCTTTTGAGATATATAAAAATAAATGACTATATATATTGTTCATATTGTTTTAAGCTCGGCGTGGCTTAACACGGGCATATTACCAAATGCCTAATAACTGGGCATAGTACAAAACATGGACTGGACCCATGGACTGGACCCAAAATTGGACCCAAAATTGGACCCAAAATTGGACTCAAAATTGGACTTAAAATTGGACCCAAAATTGGACTCAAAAAAATTTAGCCAAAATTTTGGCCCAAAATCCATTATTTTTCGGGGAGAAACAACCCTCAGAATATCGTGCTTTGATTTAATTTGTATAGGCAAAAATCTTCACGTTCCATCACTTTTCCTTGACCTATCTAGCTATTTGTCTTCCAAGATTCTATATTCTATTTTCTAAACGTTATCTAGGGTATCTCGTAAATAATAAACCTTTGTGAAATATCTTTGCGCAATGATCACAAATACATCACATCGATATAAATCATTCCATCAATATATCAATATATAGTTATTTTAATTATATACATTTTGTGTCTGTATAATACGCCCTCTATATCTTCCGGCATCTATATCCTAACTAACAAGTAACGAGTTCGCAAAGTTTGTTTTGTCCATATATTCTAATATTTATCGCAACTATAGCTATATGTGGGCTTATCATTATGCACATAGTGTATTTCAGAACCATCCTAAGAGATACGAAAAACTAGTTTCATTTTTAATCTGGCACTGCAATCGACCAACGAAAAATTCGTTGGCTCGAGCGGGATTTGAACTCGCATCTTCGAGTATCTAGACCGCCGCTCTACCTATTGAGCTATCGAGTCAACAGGGATCGGTAATGGTAGCGAGTCTTATCCAAGTGCACGAAATATTTTCGTGACGACTTAACGCTTGTCTTATAGGACGCGCAGTGTTTCAATTCTATTTCAGAACCATCCTCAGAGATAGGATACACTATATAGCTACACTATATAGATAGGATACACTATATAGCTAGTTCCAATAAATATTAGAATATATGGACAAAACAAACTTTGCGAACTCGTTACTCGTTAGAGGATATATATGCCAGAATATATAGAGGGCGTATTGTACAGACACAAAATGTATATAATTAAAATAACTATATATTGATGAGTATATTGATGGAATGATTTATATCGATGTGATGTATTTGTGACCATTGCGCAAAGATATTTCACAAAGGTTTATTATTTACGAGATACCCTACATAACGTTTAGAAAATAGAATATAGAATTTTGGGAGACAAATAGCTAGATATTAGATAGGTCAAGGAAAAGTGATGGAACGTGAAGTTTTTTGCCTATACAAATTAAATCATAGCACGATATTCTGAGGGTTGTTTCTCTCCGATAAAATAATGCATTTTGGGACAAAATTTTGGCTAAAATTTTGAATCCAA